TGTCAATATTTAGGATGATAATCACTTTGAGGGCAGGGGTCCTGTTTATCCTATTCACTGCTAACATGGATACCTGAAGATTGTTAGAGAAAGAATAACTACTTGTTGTACTTAATGAAAATAATTTGAATTAGGAATATTGTTAGGTTCTGCCCTCATCCTCCATTTAAAATCTTTCTTTATTTTCTTCCTGGTTTTCATGCCTGGTTTTCTTTCTTTCTCTTCTTAATTCCTGGTTCCTGCCAATTTATGATGGCTATTAAAACTATGGCTAACTTAAAATTTATTTTAATGGATATATTGATGAAAATACATACTCTTAATATAATTCAATATTATACGCACATATGTGTGTGTGCAAAAAAGTAACTCGCAATCTCACCACTCATAAACATTTCTTCTTAAGGTAATGTTCATTTCAGACATCTTTCTATGAATATATAAGAGTAAATGGCTAAATATAATATAGATATTAATGTCAGTTGATTGCCACTCCTAGTTGTTTTTCTAAACAATTATTCAATTCTAAGATTTCTAACTGTGCTAACAGTCTTATAGAGCTGTGCTGGGATTAAATGAATTAACATTTGTAAGACGCTTCAACGAGTTCCTGGCACACAGGAAACATGTATGTGTTAGTTGCCATTATCACAATGGGGGCACTGACCCAAAGTGATCCGAGCTGTCACGTTATAGGCTGAAGTGGGGTAACTGTAAGCCAGTTGGGTAGAAGAAAGACTTAAGTATCCTCTGAAGCCAGCCCCAAGCACCTCTGTGGCAGGCTTTGGGATAGCTGAAGCCATCAGAGCAGTCTTCTGGCTTAGCTAGCAGTGCCAAGTGCCAAGTTACTTTGAATCAGAGTCAATGAGATGGGCAGCAAACAGCTATAGGCTCTTTGGAAAAGTGCTGGAGATCTTAATGAAAGGTTAAATCTCACATACTATCAATGTGGAGACCTTTTCAGGTTTGGTACTTATTCTCCCTTCTCCCCTCCCACTTTCTTTCCCCTCCCACATATACACACACGCTCACATGTATGCATGTAGCCAGAGGAAAATCATTTCATTCTTCTGTTTGAAAATCTTCACTGGCCTCACACTTGTCTATGGGATAAAGCCCAGACTCCTTAGTTCAAGGCTGTCTTCAGAGCATGGCCCTAATACTTACTTCCATCTTCATTTGTAACACTCCCCATCATTTACTGCAGATTGACACTCATTTGCTGAGTGCCTACTCTGTGTCAGGCATTGTGTTAGATGCTAGGAATGCAAAGGTGATTGAGATATGGTTATGTCCTTGAGAAACTAAGGATTCAGTAGGGAATGCAGACAAGGATATAGGCCATTAAAATCCAGCTTGAAAATGATGTAATGAGGGAAGCAGAATTTGCTTAAGAAATACAGAATAGAGGACTTACTAGTCTAAGTACCACAAAGAAGGTATCATAGAGAAGGTGACATCTGGGCTGAGGAAGGAAGGTGAGCAGGAGTGGAGTAAGGTGAAGGTGAACAAAGTGGAGTAAGTGCATTCCAGGCAAGGAAGGTAACACCTGTACGGACATAGAGGAGTCGAATAGCATTGTGTGTGGATGAGAATTATATGCAGCCCTTGATACTAGAGTGTCAAATGAGCTTTATGAAGTGATGGTGATTGAAATTAGAAAGATCACAGGAGGGTGAGGGAGAAAGGGAATTTTGTATGCCATGTTGAAAAACTTGGACATATCCCATAGAGATATGAAAACACTGGTCAGTGTTGAGCAGTGAAATGAAAGGGACACGTCTGTCTGTTGGATACATTATCTAGTAGCAAGATGCAAACTTGGAGGCATGTGGCATAAATTTGGGAGTAGGGAAATAAACTGGGAAATTACTGCAATAGTCAAATGTGAGATGATAACTTAGTCAACGGAAGAGTTGTACCAATAAATGGAGAGGAAGGAGGGAGAAGAATATTTAGCAATGCAAATAGGCAGACTTGCTAAGTGACTGGATACGGGTTGCCAAGAAGAGAGAAGGGTTCGGATGACTCACTTCTTTTTGTTTGGAGAAATTAGGAGGTTGATGGTGCCATTCATAGCCTCAGCGCTGCACACTTTTCCCAGTGGGATCTTCTTACCTTTTTTTAAAATGAGCTTAAAGATTATGCCTCAAGACTAAACCTTATCTAGTTTCTCCAGGGTTAGGTGTGCCCTTCTCCATTTTTCCGTAATACTTTGCTCATTTCTCACCTACAGCACTTGGTCTGCTGCATGGTTACTTATTTATATGCTTTTCTCCCACTAGATTATAAGTTTCTTGGAAACTCAGACTAAATTTTACATTTCCAGTTTCTATTACATTTCTGGCCCAAACTAAGGCCTTAATTTGTTAAATTAATTAATTCATACTTGAAAATCTCAAAGACATCTCAAGCTGATCTTGTCTAAAACCAAAATATTGATCCTTATCAAAGAATGCAAATTTTCCTCAAGGCCGAACATTTGGTAGCCTTACTTAATATCTGTTGCAACCAATTCATCTGTATATCCTGTTGGTTCTACTCCAAAGTATATCTGAAATCTTCCAATGCACTGTTTAGCCCAAGATACCAAGAGCTCTTGGTGCCTGCAATGGCAACCTGTAGTAACCATCCTGCCTATCTCCCTCGTTCCACTTTCCATCCCTATCCAAATTATTCTCCCTCACAGCAACCAGAGTAATGTTTTAAAATTATACATCCAATCATGTATTCTTCTTCTACTACAGTCCCTGCAAAGGTTTCTCATTGTACTTGGTATTAAACACTCAAATCCTGAACCTGTTCTACAAGGGTATACAGTATATGATCTAGCCCCTGCTACCTCTCTGATCTCTTCTGACATTGTTTTTCCATTGGCTTATCCATAAACAGACTTTCACATGTGCTTTTGCCTCAGTAAGAAATGCCCTTCTCATCATGTTTTGATAGCTATTTCTGTATTTATCATTTAGGTCTCAGCTAATCTTCACTTCTTCAGAGATCTTTTATGACCACATATTTAAATTATGTCTCCCCTAATATTTTCTTTTTTTTTTTTTACTCTTGTTCTTTTACTTCATACTACTTAACACAATTTGTCCATGCCTGTCTGTATGTGTCTGAGAGAGAGTGTGTGTGTGTGTGTGTGTGTGTGTGTGAGAGAGAGAGAGAGAGAGAGAGAGAGAGAAATGTCTCTCTCCCAACAAGATGGTAAGTGATATAAAAACCATATCTATTTTTAACCCCAATTTCTCCAGCACCTATTATTGTAGTGCAAATAGTAATAATAAAATACTTTTCTGTTGAATGAATGAAAAAGCAGACCATGTTCATTGTGATAGTTTTACAAAACATAGGACAAAAAATTACATCTGCATATTCACGTTCAAGGTGCTTAACCACGTGGATAGTTGAATCTGTGAAATAGTTTTTCAGTTTAATGATAATCCATATTGAAATCAGAAATTAGAAAAAAGTAAACAAATAGTATAAAGGAAAAGATCACCAAAACTGCTCTTCATTTCCCTCACAAGAGAACCAATCATATTTTTTTCTTTCTTACATTTTTACTGTATGTGTGTGTGTGTGTGTGTGTGTGTGTGTGCGTGTGTGTGCTTTAGTTTATCTGTAAACTAAATTTATTAAAGACTTTGTGTTCAGCACTGACTTGGCTCTGGGGATAGCAGGATGTATGAGTATCAGAAAGCTTATCATCTGACGGTGAAAACAGGACACAAATGCTGTCACAAGGTACTTGGGTGTTTTATTAAATCAGAATTTAAAAATTTTTTTTTTTAAGAAAAGGAATATCTTCTGCATAAATACCAATCACTGAAAACAAGTCTTAATGTGAGCTGGCCTCAAAAGGCCCAGAATCACAGGATTTTTAGAACCAGGTTTTTGGAATAAGCTAATACAACTACCATGGATAATCTCTTGTCCTATGAGGGGTCGATTCTAACACTGATGATGTTATAATTCTCTAGCCTCTAGGAGTTTGTGCTTAATCCACCTCAACTGTAAAACCACTAGGTGACCTGACATACCACGTGGTGGGCCCTCTGCCTGGAATGTCTTTTTCTCTTATTTCCCCGGAAAACTTAGTTTCACAGGTCCCCTCCTCATACTCCATGTCCACAAACCTGTGTCATTTATTGTAATCACATTTTTACTGTTTACCTCCCTCATTAGCTTCTTGACGATAGAGGGCATATCTTCATTTTTACATCTTTATATCGGTGGTAGGCAAATAGGCATCTAATATGCATTTGCTAAATGTTTATTGAAGGAATTGGAAGGAAAGATGGAAGGTATCCTGTTTTCATAATGTAAAGATTAGAAATAGCTATGAAATACCATATTGAGAGCACAATGACAATAATTACTTCACATTTTTGGAGGAAAAAACTCCTAAACCAAAACATCACAGAAACAAAGACAAAAAGTAACCCCTCTCCCCAAACTCCCCCCAAATCAAGCAGAGATGAGCCTTACCCTGTGTTGACGTTATTTGAAAACTCATTAGTTGGAAGTTTCTGGTTTAGATTAAGGAATAGCAATAAGAGAAACAAAGAGTTTTAGACCAAATTCTACCTAATTCTGTGCTACCTTTTTGTTCTTGGATACATCATGACATATTTTAGTCTCTTCCAGCTAATACTCTCTCTACACCTCAAATCGCAGTTAACTGGGGCCCTGCTTAGGAACTTCTGGGACTATCCTGAAGATGGACTAAAAATGCCCAGTAGAAAACCTAAGGATTCCGATCCAGTTTGGGGGTGAGGGCAGGAATATAGGCCGATTTCTCCGAGCGATCTAAAGATTTTCATGATTAGCCCAGGTGTTGGGAAGGCATCTGTTCCTAAGGGAATTCTTTGTTGCATAAACAATTCCACCAAGATGAGAAATGCTTGGAGACGTCACCCCCCTCCTCCCGCGTCTGTGTCCTTTTTGAGTTGATTTTGGGGGATGTACCTGTGCTGACATTGTGCTACATGTACCTGTAAGGTCATCCGTGGGCCAGGACCCCAGCTGGCATGCCTTGCAGGTGTACTCATCAAAGACATACTCGTTCTCTTTACAAGGTGTGCAGGTCCAACAGCAGCTGACTTCTCCCTTCCGGATCACCTAAGGCAGGTATTTAAAATTTTGATTAGTTTTTCACATAGATAAAAATCCAGCAATCCTTTATTCAAATGTACTGCTTTACAAAGCAGAAGGGGGCTTTCACATAAGTTATTTCAAATGTTTTCGGATGGGCAGTGTAAGTATTAATATTCTCGTTTTATAATTAAAGAAACAGGCTGAGTTTAAGCAACCAATCCAACATCATAAAATTTGTTGGTGGCAGGGTCAAGGATGAAATTAAGTGCAAATCTTTGGTAATTAGCTTTAGATACGTGTATTAAGCGTCTGTGTTTGTGCTCACATGTAAATATATATACATTTCTGTATGTGTGTATGTAACTGAATTTTTCCCAGAGTTTGTGCCCTTTCTTTGCTTCAAATTAAGAACTTTTGCTCTCTGGATTTACCTTGGCTTCCCTTCACTAGTTGAATAATTGTTAGCCAAAAAGCCCACATTGTATACCTGCTAAAGTTCAAAAATATATCCATATTGATAAAAAATAATTAGGAATTTGTTTTGAATTAAGAGGCAGACGATGAAGTTTTTTCTGGAGATCACCTCTTAGACTGTTTCTACTAAAAATCTGGTTCAATAATTCAGCCCATTCCTTCCTATTCTAGTAGTTTTGATTTGCTTGGGATAAAGATGGTTAAGGTCACTGAGACTATTATATACCTCTTCATGTGTTTAATTTTTTTAAGGCAATGGAAAATAATTGAAATAATTTAACAGTTGAAAGAGTCCTAGATATTATTCTTTAGAAATGGATGTCTTTTATTTTTTTTCCACCACTGGTGCATGAATAGCCTCTGTGGAATAGAGACAGCATTCATTAAACATTCCTATAAATAATTAAAACTCTGATTAATAACCAGACGCAGGAGTGGTTACACTTCATATCCTTGTCTTAGATGCTGACTCTATTAATGACCTTTGATAATAATGTCTAGATATCTATAGCCAAATACAGTTGTAGGCTGGCACGCCTTTCTTCTGTTTTGTACTGTCCCTTGTGCTGACTCTTGACGTCGCAACAATACAAGTAGGAAATGATGACAAAAGGGCCTGAAACATCCTTTCCCTAAAATAACCAGATCAATTGCTAATTGATCTGCTTAATCTATTGAAAGCATTCTTTCAATTGGTAAAATTGCTAATTAGACCTGCTTAATCTATTGAAAGCATTCTTCATAAGAATGTTGACTGTTTGCTGGTGATTTAGTGCATGCCATGTCGTGTCATCTCATTGAAACATTGGAACAGCTCTGTATAAGGTGGTTGGTTTTATTTTATTCATTTTTTTAGGGACGAAAACTAAGGCGTAGTGATTTCACTCACACAACACGTGGGTGAATGAGGGATCAAATAATGCCTGTTGGACTTCGTGGTCATGCTTATAAAGATTGAGCCTTATTGGTCTGTATAAAGATAGAGTTCGTGATGTTTTGAAATATGTGGAGGAAAGAATACTGGCTTGAGAATCAAGGGGCACCAAGGTTCTAGTCTTATTTATAGCCACTAAATAATGTGCAGCCTTGAGCAGTCTCCCAGCTGATCCTGTTTCATCCAACCGAGACTAATGCTTTTAAAATAATACCTGCCTTTATAAGAGTTTCCTGAGGATTAAATAGAATATCACAATGATTTGGAAACTGTAGAACACTTTAAAAATATTAACTGTTTTATTAGTAATATACATATAAGTATCCATATAGAGACATGAATTTCATTTTCAGGGTTACTTCAACCACACTTGGTAAAACTATCATTGACAGTTACTAGATTTTGTAACGCAAGGAGGCACATTTCAAATGCTGAAGGATTCTTTCTTAGTAGCCTGGCAAACAAAAGCTGTTGCGTTTTTCCTCTTAGAAATGTGCTAACTTTCCGTGATTCAATTTGCATTGCTTTGTAAATTTCAGTCTTTTTACCAGAGTAAGCTCATGCCCTTTTCCAAGATTAATTCCAATATTACAATCTTTTTTTGAATAAATAGTGACAACTTACTGTCTTCTTCTGATCCTTCAGAACTGATTTGTTTTACTTTTTTTTGTTTGTTATTTATGTTCTGTTTCACACTCATTTTGAATACAGGAGGTGGTGACAGTTCTCTTTCAGATTAATTTCCAGTTTTTTCCACTGGTGGCGCACTGGTTAAGAATCCGCCTGCCAGTGCAGAGGACACTGGTTTGAGCCCTGGTCTGGGAAGATCCCACATGCCATGGAGCAGGTAAGCCCATGCGCCACAACTACTGAGCCTGTGCTCTAGAGCCCACGAGCCACAATTACTGAAGCCCACACGCCTAGAGCCCGTGCTCTGCAACAAGAGAAGCCACCGCAATGTGAAGCCTGCGCACTGCAACAAAGAGCAGCCCATGTTCGCTGCAGCCAGAGAAAGCCTGCGCGCAGCAATGAAGACCCAAAGCAGCCAAAAATAAATTAAAAATTTTTAAAAAGTGTAAAAAAGCACCCTGGAAGTAGTGATGCTTTCTTTATGAATAACAGTATGTTATATATTTGAACATTTGCTAGACTAAGTGTCCTTTTGTGGGCACTGCGTTAACAAATCTGAACAATTCTGTGATGTGTTGATATCATCAGTGAAGTTGTTCAGTGACCTTATTAAACCATATCAAGAAAATGTAGTCAATTGTATATTTAATGGAGTGAAAATGAGATCTGGTTAGGAGAATAGAATTTGGGATTAAAAAAAGACTCTATAACGATTATAACAAACTAACTAGTATTGAAAATATGATAATAGGGAGTCAGATTCTTCCACTGGGTAAGTTATTCCCAGGAGAAGGGGGTAGAAAAGTATATATAAAGAAATCTCTTGAAACAGACATTCTATATATATATATATATATATTTTGCGGTACGCGGGCCTCTCACTATTGTGGCCTCTCCCGTTGCGGAGCACAGGCTCTGGACGTGCAGGCTCAGCGGCCATGGCTCGTGGGCCTAGCCGCTCCGCGGCATGTGGGATCTTCCCGGACTGGGGCACGAACCCGTGTCCCCTGCATCGGCAGGCGGACTCTCAACCACTGCGCCACCAGGGAAGCCCAACATTCGATATTTTGAAGTTACAGGTTCAAACTATATTGTTGTGAAGGGTCAAAACAGAGACAACTTCCATGTATTAATTTATACAGACTAATCTTTCTCTGGGAAGAACTGGAAATTATGAACAATTGATATTCTAAGTGAGTCTAAAAAGAATTTCACATGAAGTGTTTAACTGCAAGATGATTGGCCAAGATGCAGACCATCACTGAATATTAAGAGTCGGCAACCTTTTTCTGCAGAGGACCAGAGAGTAAATATTTTAGGCTTAGTGGTTGATAGCCAGGGCTGATTGAGGCTACCTCTATAATGTTCCTTTCAAATACCTCCCCTACCGCCTTTCTATTCTCACTGTTTCTTCCATAATTCAGGGACCTTGTCACCACTATCACAGTGGTGTCCTCTTTCTTTATGTTTCATAACTCCACCCATGCATCTTCACCTATTATATGTCAGCATCTTGGTCAAAATTATTCTCAGACTCCTGGTTAATAAAAAATTAAGTTCAGCCTGTTTAGTATGGCATCCAAAACTCTCTGCAAATGTGGCTTCAATCTATCATTGCAACTTTCTCTTTTACAGTAACCATTTAGAGCAACGCCCCCTAGGTTATTCACTGTTATTCCAGAACAGTCTGACTACTTCTGTACCTTTCCTGTTATTATTCCCTCTACATAAACGATCATTTCCCTACATCTCTCTCTGAAGTCATATCCATTTTTCATGGTTCAGTGTCTGACATTTTATTCAGAAGAAATCTGTCCCTTTTTTAAAAAGAAATTTTTATCGCACCTTTACTGCACCATGTACACGGCACTGTACTATTTGACATATAGTAACTCATTTTTAAAAATATATATTTATTTATTTGGTTGTGCTGGGTCTTAGTTGTGGCAGGCAGGCTCCTTAGTTGTGACTCCTGGGCTCCTTAGTTGTGGCATGCAGGTTCCTTAGATGTGGCATGCAAACACTTAGTTGCGGCATGCATGTGAGATCTAGTTCCCTGACTAGGGATCAAACTCAGGGCCCCTGTATTGAGAGTGTGGCGTCTTATTAACCACTGCACCACCAGGGAAGTCCCTGTCCCTTTCTTTTGTATGAAATTATTTAGCTCGCTTTTTTTTCTTTCTTAATGAAGTCATCACATTTCACATGACATTACTTATCTGTGCCCATGATATTTTTCCTCATCTACGCTATAAATCTTCTAAGAGTAAATGTGTCTGACTTATTTTTGTAAACTAAGTAACAAATAGTTTTGTAATGTAAGCAAATAGTTTTGCAATGTAAACTATTACATTAGTAGGAGTTGGGTAAATATTTAAGTTAATTAGAAATTGATGTAGTTTCCAGCTGTGAACTATTTAGTCCCAGGAAGCATGTCTTTAAAGGCTTACATGAGTAGAAAGGGTGTGGGCATGACTCTTCAATTGGTTCAGCCAGTCCAACTACTAAGATTATTGTGGGGTTTACTAGATATCATAAGGAATTAATGGGAAAAGAATTAAAAAAAATTTCTTCTAAAAATTAGAAGCTGACAGTGGAAAAGGCAAAACAAATATCTAAAGTTGTTAAAGTCAATGCTAATGAATACTTTTGAATTTACAACAAAAATTAAAGAAACACAGACTCCACTTTACCTTTATCTGGCCTTTCTCACATGGTTCACTGCACACGGATCTGATGATGTGGCTTTTCTTGGACCATACTTCATCATCATCCATTTTTAATTCTCCGTTGTCCCAGCTTCCAACATTGATATAATCAAAATAATCTTTTTCCATTTCCTTGAAATTCATTATTTCATACCTTAGGAACAAGAATATAATAATTATTCAGCTAAAAATATAAATATTCAGCTATGAAGAAGCAATAGATTTCTGTCCTCCAAAATGTACCTATTGTCATAATGGTGACACTGGAATTTTCCATGACAGTACACTTTAGAATAACAAAAAGCCTGTCTGTTTCACTTTCTCTTCAGAGACCTTTTTTTTTTTAAACTTTCAAGCTTATACCTGAAATAGAAAATAATCCCATGTGAGAAGGTGACTTGACCTCAGCATGATGAAAGGAATAACTTCAAGAAGTTTAAACAAGTACTACTTTTAGGCTTCTTAAAAAGATAACAGGGTTTTCGTCTCCACTCCTTTGCTAATAACCAAGGGAGAATTTTGGTAAATCTTTAATCTTGTCTTCAGCTTTAGGGAATGAGGAGGTAATTTGGATACGACCTGATTTTACCTTTCTCATTTTACCCTTTATCAATGGCTAAACTCATTGTATAAAGATACTTTCAGGAATGATGTTTAAACTAATTCAGAAAATCGATAGCTTCTAAAGCACCTCGTGCAATGTAAAAATGCTGGAAGATACTAGAACCTCGTGAATTCTCAGACTTTATATGGGGATAGGGATGTAAAGAGGGAAAGTTAATGTGATTATTTATAAGATTTTACACACACACACACACACACACACACACATTTCCAGAGAAGCTTTCTGAAATAATTTTCCAATCTGAGGACACTGGATGAGCAATACCACCGCTGTCAGTTCCTGTAGACATATCTGTAGGTATGTCTTAGGTGTACAGTGTCTTCACATAGTACCCTGTGCTTTTATTTTCCAGGACTTTTAGGACTGGCAGACAGGTTCTTCTAAATGCTTCCTTCAACCTCCATGCTTAGCATATTGAGCTATCTGAAAATTGATAACGTATGGAAAACTTTCTAGCTTTTGGGTTCAAGTGACCAGATTACCAATGTTCAGTACAGAAATGCTAAGAACAAAGCTGACATCAATCTGTTTGGACCTACGTTGAAAATGATACTATTGTGTTTTCACTCCCAATCACATTTTTTACTGTAGTGTTTTTTTCAGAATGTTCACTTATTCTTAAGTTTGGTTAGCTGTTCAGTGTTATCCTACAGTGTTTTATTTGCAGTCAGTAACAATTTTGAGTAACTGTCTAAATTCCACCTCTAAAAGTACCAATCTGTAGGATACAGAGCTGAGTCTTACACATTTCCACTCTGTCACAGTTATGCAGTGGCTACTAAGCATGCAGTGAGCTGAGATATTCGAACACAGAGCACTGAGGCAAAAAGAACTCATACATTATGGCATTGGCTACTTCGAATTGGCTACATGGGCCTCTAAGGCTTCAAAAGGTGACTGACTGCCTGTGAGCAAATGACCTTTGAACGTTCTAGGCTGGGAGAAAGAAAGAAATGTTAGTGTCAGGAAGATTTTTTTTCTTTGCCGCTACTGATTTGAAGAGATATGAAGAGAGTTTCATTGCTCACCCCCAAATGAGCCATCAACCCATTTCTATCAGTTGTTAACTTAACTTTGACGAGGTCTAGTCCAAACTGTCAATTGTACAGATAATGGACCTGAAACTTGGTGAGGTAATGAGTGATACCAGGTTGGAGAGAATGCAAGTCTATACTCACTCTTAATACTTCAAGTCTGCTGTTGGTTCTTTTCCGTTAGACTACTCCAAATAAACTCAATAGAGCTAAAAGATCAACTTCCATTGCTTAACTGTTGTAGAAATCTGTTTTATATTGGAGAAATGGTAAAAAGTCAAGGGATCCAATTTTTGAAAAATAAACATGATAACTCTATAGAATGGAAAATGTCATATTTGACAGGGAAGTGATTTTTAGAAAAGTTAAACCTTAATTTTGGCTCAAACCAATCAACCTACTTTAAATTTATTACAGATACTGAATCCTCCCTTTGGAATTAGCCCTTAGATTTGTGGTAATTATTTCTTATTTACCAGACAACCACAGAGATATTATCACTAGTGGTTGTAGCTGTGAAAATACAACATGATTGTAAAAATCTTTGGTAGCAATACATAAAAAAAAGAAATAGTTAAGAATAATTCTCTGTAAAAGAAGACCCCTCTTCCCTTCTCTTGTCAATTAATATGAATTCTTTTGGTTTTCAGAGATAGGATATAGATTTTATTCTTCATCAAAAGTGAGAGTGTTTGAAAAATACTCTTACTTAAATTTTAGATAAGAATTAAAGTACATAATGGCTTTCTGCCGTTGTAACCCATTGTTTAATTCTCTCTCATTCTCACTCTTACTGTCTCGCCCTCTCTCACTGGGCCCCCTGGTTTCTCCATCTCTGCTCCTGAACCTTCTGTCTCATCATTGAGTGTGGGTTTGTGTAATCTGTCTTCTTTAATACTTCTTCCTTCTTTCCCCTTTCTCTCTGGTTCCCCA